TTACAGTAGCTCCTAGCAACAGCGGATATGACGTCACGCCTGACCCGAAGCTTCTTGTCCTTTTCAACGGTCCAGCGACTCAACAAGTTCAGAGACCGAATAAAAGATAACAACTGATCATACAAAGTTAACAATACCATAAATACACTCCAGATATGTGGATCGATTGATCCAAAGAGGTTTAGAAAGCCGGCTCGAAGAATTCACCGAGAAATTTCAGCCGAAAGTGCATTCCAACCAGGATGGATCGCTATCTGTCGTCTTTCATCGCAGGCGATCGTAGACAAACAGATTCGCATTATCAATCTGCTGACCTTCCTTACACACACATACAGGCACTGAGCACAAATATTCAATTAAATCCTTTTAGGAAAACTCACCCATGACAAATGGATAAAGAGAATAAAGAAGCTTGTCTTTTTAACGGTCAAGTGGCTACAAAATGCAATACGTTCGCTCACTTGAACGGACCATGAAGAAGTGACGTATAAAAATATAGTCCCTATCTACGGCAGTTGGTGTAAGAATATAGCTCAAGTATACTGTGAAGCGGACAGACAATTAATCTTAAATAGGCGTAGAAAATGTGTCCTAACATGTAAATTGACACTAAAAGCCTAAAAGAAACAATCTAAGAGTGATTTATATGGATTTCTCCTATCTGGACTCCCCCACAACAAACGAACTATATAACTACGGTCGGACCATCCGATATCATAGTTACAATGACGACATTGGGGGTGTACAGACTGTGGGCCGGCTCATTGAGGTAGGTGTGTGCATTCTGTAATATGACATACAGCTAAATCACTATAAATGATAAAGCGGAATGGAGAAACAGATTGCGAGCCCTATGTGACATATAAGACTGAAGGATGACGATGATGTCGTTTGTTCATTTCATTGTATTGTGTCAGAAACATCACATATACAAGGTTAAGAATATCTTGTATAAGTTATGTTTCTGACACAATAGAATGTAATGATAATATTTGGAGTTACCTGTAGTTAGAAAAGACCTAGCTCAGGAGGGTCTCATGTATTTTCTACCTTGGTTTTAGCGAAACGAAAGGTACCAAGGGACGAAACTGTTGTCTTCTGAAGCATCATAACATTGGCACAATAACGCTCGACGTGGTAAATATTCTAAAGACCACGAAGACCACCAAGAGCCAAAGTCACAGTAACAATTGTAAACATTTTGTGAATTGAGTTGAGATCTGGACAAGTGTGGGCGTGCCAGCGGATGAATTTGACGAGATTGGAACCTACGTGTTGGGAAACAATTTACATGCATACTCATATCTGTGTCTCTATGATAACCCTGTGCATTACAGTTCTGATTTTAATCCGTTCTGTCTCGCTGCTGTATTATAAGTAAGTAAGTAAAGGACCCTTTTCCACGCCTTAAGGCGTATAGGGCATATAGGGCTAGACCTATATTTTTATAGACCAATTGGCACAAGATGGGTGATGTGTTCAGTATCACGCCGGCCGCCTTCACCTTCCCGGGACTGCACCCGGTACCTACTCAAAGCTGGGTTGACCTAGGAGCTAAGGTCATTTTAAAAAAAGCCCGGCTCCGCCACGGAGCGAACCCACGACCTTCCGAGGCTGTATTATAACTAGTTTCAAATGTCGTGGCCTCTCACTTAGAAAAAAATTCAGTAACTTTTGTACAGATCAACACGAAATTTTCAATTCCGGCGTTAAATTTACCATGTCCTAATGATTTATAATTTATAGCGGCACAGGTGCCGCTGATCTCTTAAAGCGGCGAATTTCTTTGATCTTGGTTTGACTTATATTTTGTATGCCCCTAAAATAGAAAACAGTAATTGTTGCAAGCGTGGAGATTGTTTGGGAATCTATTTACGTGGTCATTTTTTTGACAGCCTATCCCTCATACAATAAAACATCCACAAATCACGGGAGCTAATGCTGGAGATGACCTCCTGAAAATGAAATGTCTACGAAACATGCGCAATTTGATGTTTTGAAAAGTTACCGTTTTTACTTATCTGTCAGCATACTGATTGCTTGCTTTGAATCAGTCTTTTTAAAAAAAAAAAATGTTAATTTACCGCCAAAAAGACACAAATAAAATAAAAACTATATGTTTCTTCACCTCAAACACAATTCTTTCAAGGACATGATTATAAACAGGTAGCATGCGGAATTTCAACAACTTACAATAAACGGTTACTGACCTGTAGAGTTTTAGAAGTGTACAAAACTCCCGAAACGGACTATAGTAAATTTCCTAAGGAAGCATAATGGGAAGGCAGAAGTAATAGTGATTTAAAAAAAAAAACGAATATTGTCTAAATGTATAATTAGAGTCAAATGCGTTATTTTAAAATAAGTAAAGAAACTCAATTTTTTAGGTACTAGGGAAACATCCACCAGAAGATGTATAATAGAGATAAGGAACGACATAGGACACGTCATGGCATGCAGTGGTGTCAACACACCAGATGACATAAGCTAACTATGGAAATGCATGACCACCTACGTCAGCAGACAAGACACTTGATGATGATGACTAACGATAATTTGTATAATAAAATTAGATTTCCATTTTGACGTGGATGCGTGGCTGAGCTGCATCAGTTATCGCATCTTAGTTTTATTGGAGCAATGATCCAGTCGTTTAAGCCAATAAAGAGCATTCTAAGGAAAGTAATACATGCATATATTTTAGGCTTAGCATGTAATCTGCATATCTGCATCACTTAACCTAGATTGTGATCGCTGGCGATTATACTGCCTATTAGGTTTTGCATGCAGTTATATTCACATTTTGATCTATCCTATCATACATTCATCCATACATCATACCATTCTTTCTATAAATCGATCCACCCATACATACACCCATCAGTCTATCCCTTCTTCATTTTATTCATCCATTCATTTTCCCAACTACCGTTCCATCCATCCATCTATTCCTACATACAGGCTTACATACATTCATATATATATATATTTATATGTGTGTGTGTATATATAATAATATAACAATTGATATATATTATATAAATAACAATATATATAAATTATAACTATTTATACACACACATAAATACAATACATGTTTACACACACATACATATAGTACATACATTCACACACACACACACATATATATATATAATATATTCTATATATATAATTATATATATAAATATATATATAAAATTCATTTCAGTAGCATGTACCCTCGCGGAACCTCGCCTGCCATAACAACCCTCCGGCCACTAAAACCTTCCTATCCTGAGCAAGATGTCCCTGCGTATCCTGCATACAACCATCTGGAAGAGTCATCTGCACATCCTGCACCCAATCTTCTCCTTGTCCCTTCCTCTTCCTCTCTTCCCAGGCATATACCCCTAAATTAATTGTTCTCTCTAGACTTTTATATATATATATACATGTAGTACTATATATGTACATATTGTAGATATAATCTTATATATATATATATATATATATATATATATACAAATATATATATATATATTATATATATATATATATATATAAAACACATACATGAATATACATATATAAATAAATATGCATATACATATATGTTATATATATATATATATATATATATATATATATATACAGGAATATACATGGGGCAATATGTATATGTATATATACATTAATATATATATATATATATATGTACGTAACAGATGTGGATCTGGCCCGTAGTGGGGATCCACATGCGAGAGAAAGCTATGGGGGAGCCGCGGTGGCGACCTTAAAAACGCACAATCTAAAACTTTTGTGACCCAGACGTGGGACTCAATATTTAGCATGTACAGATATAATGTCGAACGCAGAAGAAGGAGGAGGGAGAAGTAGAAGAAGAGAAGAAGAAGAAGAGAAGAAGAATAAGAAAGAAGAAGAAAGAAGAAAAGAAGGAAGAAAGAAGAAGAAGAAAAAGAGAAGAAGAAGAAGCAAGAAGAAGAAAGAATAAGAAGAAGAAGGACTAGAAGAAAAGAAGAAGAAGAAGAAGAAGAAGAAGAAGAAGAAGAAGAAGAAAAACAACATAGACAAGGTCTGAGACTGTCTGAGTCCTGAACACCGTACGATGTGTCATCACCTATTGCCCATTTGTACTAAGCAGCCAACTTTGTGATCTGATGTTTAGCATAGGCATTGTAGAGAAATCTGGCTAGTAATTGTAACACCCCCAGTAAGTATATGAGTTGCCACATATATGACAGTCTGGTGATCAAATGTTATGTTCACATAGCAGATATCGTCATGAAATTGCAATATCTCACAGTCATGGATGACGCATGTAGAACAAATGTTATGAAAATCAACACTCAAAAGTCAGAAATGATGTTAAAAGAAAGAAAGATACAGAACCTACATTCGGCTGTAAAGTGCACAAGCGTTAAACAGGCATCTAAGTTTAAATATCTGGGAAAAACATTACCCTAAAGATAGTAAATTATGTGTCCTGTTGCCATACAGTTGGTTGTGCCTTACTTGGTTTAAATTAATGTGCAACTTCTGATCGGTTTGTAAACCCTGCTTTCGTCGATGATAAACTGCATTTCTAATGACGGCCTTATGTTTTTAAGGCGTGTATATGCTAGCAGATATGTTGAGAATGCAGTATATGTAACTTTTTTTTTTTTTTGGCACAAGGGACAGTAATGGACAATGTGTTTGTTTTTCGTTGGCACAGAAGCGGAGCAACTATGGGGTGACCCGTTTACTTAGCTAAAAAAAAAGATTACCAAGATTCTTGCTTGCAGATCGTGGATTTTGTGGAGAGTGATGACCAACCACGCCAGTCGGCAAGAAACCTGTTTATTATGATGATTATTATGATGATGATAATGAAAGAAACAAAAGTAACCACAATGTAACACATGAAGATAGACGCTTCCTAATGTCCTGTTTGACGAAACATATCGACCTCACGAATCAGTTGCACATCCTGTACTCATTATAGACTAGACCGTTTTATGACAAAGTTAAATTATAGATTAGACAGCTTTTGACAACGTTAAATTATGGATTAGGAGGTTACAAGGCATTTGTTTGATGTGCGATGGATTCAGAGTCTGTCATTTGTTTTTTTCCATACAGTTTTTTAACAACGAAAATT